GCAGTGATCTGTCTCTCTCTGTCTTTCTGGCAAGCGTACGCACCCTATAACAAAAAGATCTCTCCAAAAAGTAAAAGAAATATTAATAAAATTAAATAATTCTTTAAAAATAAATCCAATCTGATAATCTCTTTTAGTAGTTAAGTATCAGTTTACATTTACTAAGACTACTGATAATTTTCATTTACTTCTACATTCCTATTTTGTGCTTTGGTTTATCTTTTTTGTTCTTTCCTGTTTCAATTACTCAAATTTTCAGTATTATTTGTATTTCCTCTACTATGTCATTATGTGTGGGAAGCTGCGCACCGGCGAGTCTGCCGAGGTTTCTCAGAGAGCAAACAATTACCATGATTGGTTCCCTTCCAAAAACCTGACCTTCGAAACCTTGCTCTGATTGGCCCGCGCAGTCTCCAGACGACCCTGGAGATCCTGAAGAGCTGACACTGCATCGTCTCCAGACGACTTGGGAGACCCTGAAGAGTTGTAACACTACATCCTCTCCGGACAACCCTGAAGAGCTGTGACACCGCGTCGTCTCCGTGCTGCTCACAGTAGACGACGCGACACTGCGTCATCTCTGTGCTGTACCGTGCTGCCCACAATAAACAGACGACACTGTCGTCTCCGTGCTGTAACACTACGCCGCTTGTCCCAGCTCTCACTCCTTCACTCAGGAAACCTGTTCGGCTGTCCCCCCGGGTCGGGACAATTATGGCTAACAAATTCAGCCATACTTTAGCCATATCATCTCTAAAAAACTATTTTGGGGGCCAGCAAGTGCCGTGGTAGTTAAGGTGCTGGACACTCCCACATGAACAACCATGGTTCAAGTTCCAGGCCTGGTGGCTTGCTTTCTCACTTTCTTTCTCTCTTGTCAAATTAAAATAAATGAATGAATAAGTCAAATAAAATAAATCAAAAAAATAAATAAATAAATAAAAATAAAAACTATTTTGGGCTAGCTGGTGGCAGGGTTGTTAAGAAGACTATATCCCACATCGCTGACCACATGGTTCAAGCCCTGGACCCAACAGCTTGAAAAATATACAGCATGCATGTGTGTCCAAAACCCCAACCGGAGGCAGAAACAAAGGAGAAAAGACTGCAACACAGCCATCCCTTATGGGTAGTACTTTCTCACTTTCTCTGTCTTTCTCCATTTCTCTCTGGCAAGTGCACAAGCCATGTGGCAAACTTAAAAATAAATAAATAAATAAATTTACCAAAGATTAAAGACGCTTAAGGTTGACATCAGCAAATAGTCAACTTTGAGCACTTTATCTTCCTTCATGAGAAAAATGAATGAGGAGGACCAGCAGGTGGCGTGGTGGTTAAGTCACTGGTTACTCCCACATGGTCAACCATTTGCTGCTCAAGTCCTGGACCTGGAGGCTTGCTTTCTCACTTTTTCTCTTTCC